TTCTCAACTCTCCGGGATCTTGACTTCTCCTTGGGAAGGTTCGGTCCCGAGCTCAATCAGTAGCCTCCTTAACCGTAACAACAGATTCCCCCGAAACCCAAACGTAGACTCTAAACCTCCTAGTAGCAGTAGCCCAGTAGTTGAACAACCCAACAGACAAGCACAGTCGAGCCCAGCGTCCTTCTCGCTTCCATTCAGAATACCCAATTTTTTCGAAGTGTTGGGCATGAGAAGGAGAAGCTTGGACGTGGCTCAAGAGAGACAGGGCATCGCTGACACGTTAGAAGGCTTCCTAACCAGTCCTTACCAAGGTTCGATTCCCACGTCAATAGACAGCTTATTTAGAAGCAATAAGAACCGCTTTGTACGCAAAACCCAACCCCAGCCTGTAGCACACCCACGCCCCTCTCCCGTAGCCTCTGACGATCCCTCCCAGGCAGCTGTCCGCCTCTTCCCCAACAATGCCAACACCGGGTTCCACGTAAATGTCCCATCAGGACACTTTCGGTTTCAGCATCACAGCCGCAGAAAGAGAGACCTTGAGGACGCGAGCGAAGACCTGCAGCAGTCAGCCTCAGGGCGGCGCTTTAGACTTCGTCCAAGGCCAGGTCCCCCTCGACGTAGCCCGCACAATAGAGGAAGGGCGTCTCGTCAGTCAAAGAGGCCACACCATTTCAAAAAGCCTGAAGCCGAAAGGCCTAATTTCAATGAATTTGATGATGAAATCATTTACGATTCTAGTGACGAACTGCTCGATTTCTCTGAATTCGAGGGCTTTCCTTCGGCCAATTTTTTAGACAATTTTAATGCCCCTTTCCCTAGCGAAGATTTCGAGAGCGAGGAGCTTCCATTCGAGGCTTCTGGCGTCCGAGAGCAGGTCAGACCAGCTCTAAAAAAACCCTCGAATCGTCCCACTCGCTTAAGCCGCCCCCTTCCGAGACGACCCCCTCCCCGACGACCCTCCTCTTCAGGACGACAACGCTCCCCTGTAGGACGACCCTCTCCCCTAGAACCCTCCCCGGGCTTACGGCCTGGACCCTCCCCCCGCCCACATCCTCCCCCCTCCAACTCGGTCCGCGCCCCCAGACACATCCTCCTCCGGAACCGCCTCATGCCCAAACTCACGCGCCAGCAGGATATCCCCATAGTCCGAAGGAGCCTCCAAGTAGCTCAGCGCCGACAGTCCGATCAGTCAGTCACTTCCGGTAAGATGACTCCCGACAGACACCCGACCACCGACGACTGGACGACCTGCCCCGATCGACCCCCCGACTAAGAGACCAACTCGATTAACCCACAGAGGGCTCCTGTGACCAAATTTCCTGCAAGGGCTCTGCATGATAATAACAGAATCCCCTTTGGCTGTGAATGTTGTTTCTTTGTCTTGAAGAGACTGACATGCAAAAGAATCTGGTGTTACACCCTTAAAACCCACCTCATGACCAGACTGGACAGAAGTAACCGACCTTATGTTGCTTATTGTCTGGCATGTTGCATGTACTAATTCATGTGTGTATTACTAAAACAATTACATTATGAGACTTATTATGATAAGAACATATTCGTGCATGTTATAAATCCCATTTCACCCAACACTAATCTGAACTAATCATTATTTTTTACATAATTCCCGACCAATAACAATACTTTAGTAATATAAGACGAATTATATATATCCACATTTCTTCAAAGCCCATTAAATACCATACAAGATTTAAACCGATTTAGACACAAAGGAACATCATGGACTAGGCATCAGATTACAACATAATGAGGAAGAAAAGTCACAAAAAAATCCTGATAAGTAAATAAAACTTCATACAGATTGCACTCGACCCTGCCAATGCCCTCACTTGCCCTGCCATGAACCCTCACTCACCCTGCCAGATGTGTAAGTCATGCAAGCGCTTTTTGACAGATGTGGCCGAAGCAAGGGAGGACAGCGCCGGTTTTATAGTCGGAAAACCAGATAATTTCCCACTATTCTCGGCCATCGGAGGCTTCGGTCCCATGCAAGACATCGAGAAAGGAGACTGTGAGTTATATTTTTTCTATTTCGAGAGATCATTGTTTTTTCATTATTTATCTTATTATTTATTAATTATTTTTTTAAACATTTGCCGTCTCGTCCATTCCGTGTTATTCCGATGATTCTTAAACATTTGTCGTGTCGTCCGTTCGGTAACATTCCCTTAATGACTGAACATTTCTCTCCTTCCCTCCGCGCGCAGCCGCCTCGAGCTTCGTCCCGGCGTTCAGCATCCCGACGATGAACATCCCCGACATCCCCGACCAGCATCCGCAGTTCGAGTTCCCGCAGTTCGCCCAGCAGGTGAGTGGGATTCGCGAAGCCTCTCAGCCACAGCCGCAGCCTATCCGACAGCCCGAGTCCGGCCCCCAGGAGCCCCCAGCCGCGTCCTTTAAGCCCTCTCAGCCGCAGGAGGACGAGGACGGCTTCCGGCTGGTGTTCCCGGAGAGCGTCCCCTCCCAGCCCCCCATA